AATTAAGTGTCATCATTTTCCTATATTAGCATTTTTACTGTAATGGTTTTGAAATGATAGGAACATGCACTGTTCAAAAAGTCTTAAAATGTTGTTTTGGCTCAATTTCTTTGTTAGATTACTGTGTTGAACTAAGGCAGGTCAATTAAAGTAACATGATCCTATAGATTCCATGTACATTTAGTACTGTAAAGTAGACAAATTTATTGTTCTTACAAGTAGTTCTCAAACATTGATTTAAGTTGGTCTCCTGAAGGATGTAATAATGCAATTGGTCTGCTTAAGGTACAGTGTATAATATAGACATGCATATTTTATTTTGAATTTGTATTATGTCAATCATTAGAAATATATGGATCTTAATTAAAAAACATTGTTTTCATTAGAATTTAAGATATGTATAATAGGCATATATTCTTCATGCTTTTCCATAATCAAGTCCTTTTTTACAGGGTCTCTGCTAGAATCATTTGGACCCCAGTGTAACAAATCTATGGAAAAAGAGAAAATCTCAGCTCAAGGGTCAACATGTCTTTATTCCAAGAAAGGTAAATTGATAATTTTTTGTGCTAAAATTCTCTTTTATAAATTATAATATCAATGCAAAAGAGTGAACAAACAATGTACCTAACAACATTTTGAAAATGAAAGTGCAATAACAGTTAATAATTATGATCAGTTGAATGAATGTTAATAATCCAATCAAAGTCCTTGTTGTATATCATTTTTGCTAGGGCTGTGTATTGAGCAAAAAAAAAAGACATTTTTTAATGCGATATGCAATATATTGAATTCTTTAACAATTCTGTCAAAAAAGTCTTATAAATCATTATGCATGAGTTTTATAAAAATAATTGTTTTTTACTCATTTTTAATTTTTTGTCTCACCGTCTTTAAAAATTACACTTCAAATTCAAACTTTTCTTGACTGTAAAATCAACATGTTAAGTAAAGTTGTCTATGTATTTTTATGATTTTGTAATAATCATCTAAGATGTGCTACATGTACCTCCTTAATGATTATATCATTTTTGATCAGTTTTAATTCAAAACAGTTAAATATAATCTTTGGTGATTGAAATTCCCAACTTTTTCACAGAATTAAATTAAAAAACTGCCTGCCCAAAATGTATTGGAATTAAGTTATTTTTAGCTCACCTGAGCCAAAGGCTCAAGTGAGCTTTTCTGATCAAAATTTGTCCGTTGTCTGTCGTCGTTGTCGTCTTTGTTGTTGTTGTAAACTTTTCACATTTTCATCTTCTTCTCAAGAACCACTGGGCCAATTTCAACCAAACTTGCCACAAAGCATCCTTGGGTAAAGGGGATTCAAATTTGTTCAAATGAAGGGCCACACCCTCTTTCAAGGGGAGATAATTAAGAATTAGTGAAAATTTAGTGGTATCTTTTAAAAATCTTCTTCTCAAGAACCACTGGGCTGTAAAAGTTGAAACTTAGGTGAGACCTTCATTACATAGTGTAGATTCAAGTTTGTTCAAATCATGACCCCCAGGGGTAGGATGGGGCCACAAGGGGGGATCAAAGTTTTACATAGGAATATATAGAAAAAAAATCTTTAAAAATCTTTTTCTTAAGAACAACAAAGCCACAATTAGGCATATTGATATGGAATTATCCTCAGGTAGTGCAGATTCAAGTTTGTTCAAATCATGACCCCCAGGAGTAGGGTGAGGCCACAATGGGGGATCAAAGTTTTACATAGAAATATGTAGGAAAAATCTTGAAATTGTTTTTCTTAAAAACAACAAAGCCACAATTAGTCATAATTTATATGGAATCATCCTCAGGTAGTATAGATTCAAGTTTATACAAAATCATGACCCCCGGGCGGGGGGGGGGGGCACAATGGGGGATCAAAATTTTACATAGGAATTTATAGAAAAAAAATCTTTAAAAATCTTTCTCTCAAGAACAACAAAGCCACAATTAGTCATATTGATATGGAATCATTCTCAGGTAGTGTAGATTAAATTTTGTACAAATCATGACCCCCAGGGGTAGGGTGGGGCCACAATGGGGGATCAAAATTTTACATAGAAATATGTAGAAAAAAATCTTGAAAAATCTTCTTCTCAAGAACAACAAAGTCACAATTAGTCATATTGATGTGGATCCATCCTCAGGTAGCGAAGATTCAAGTTTGTATCAAATCATGACCCCTCGGGGTAGGGTGGGGCCACAAGGGGCGATCAAAGTTTTATATAGGAATATACAGAAAAAAAACTTGAAAAATCTTCTTCTCAAGAACAGCAAAGCCTTGTTAAGTCATATTGATATGGAAGCATTCTCAGATAGTGTAGATTTAACTTTGTTCAAATCATGACCCCCAGGGTTAGGGTGGTGCCACAATTGAGGATCAAAGTTTTACATAGGAATACATAGGAAAAAACTTCAAAAATCTTCTTCTCAAGAACAGCAAAGTCATGTTTAGTCATATTGATATGGAAGCATCATCAGGTAGTGTAGATTCAAGTTTGTTAAAATGATGGGGGGGGGGGGGGGGGATGGGGTAGGGAGGGTCCACAATGGGGGATCAAATTTTTAACAAGGGAATATATAGGAAAAAAATCTTTAAAAATCTTCTTCTCAAGAACAGTAAAGTCATTTGTTATATTGATATGGAAGCATCCTCAGGTAGTTCAAAATCCAAGCCCCCTCCCCTTTAAACTTTTCAATACTGAAGTGATTTGTGCTTTTTCCTAGCCAATGTGCTCAGGTGAGCGATGTGGCCCATGGGCCTCTTGTTTTTGATACAATATATTCATTAATCTAGATATGTATCAATATGTTTGATGCAGCCCTAATTTTTGCTGGTTCATAAAATAACTAAAAAATAAACAAATGCCAAATGTTGGCATGGTTGGCATTGCAACTGTATCTTACACATTCAAATCAGGCCATTCTTACGAGTTTTGGAACATGTTGGGTTCTACACTAGTTCCGCTACTACAGAGAAGACAGCTTGTTTTCAAACTGTGTCATTCAAAGTTTCAATATATGAGAAACACAACAAATCTGAATGCTTAGCCATTATACATAAATGTACTAAATGATGAATCTACTTTATTGTGTTATTTATTGACATTTGACAATCATGATTTATAAATCATTTTGAAATTTTATATGTATCATATCATAAGGTCTGTGTATTATCCCAACCCTATATACCTACATATCACAATGTATCATTTCAGCATTTATTTGTTAGTTTCTATGTTCAAGATTGCTTTTGAGAATTTTTTTACTCATATTGAGATGCCACTGTCCCACCTGCCTGCTAACGTGGAAACAAAACTCCCCTCTGTAACAAAAGAGTGCACCAATGGAGATAATCTCAAAACTTGTGTAGTAGGATCAACTCCTAACAATGCACCACTTTTCAGCATTTATATTCATTGCTTAAGGGTTTATTCTTACTAATGAAATAAGTTGTGGTGATGCATATATTTACTGTAAGACATTTGTAATAATGAAGGATTTGTGAGATATACCTTTTATCAGTTACCGTATATACTCGCGTATAAGTCGGTCTTTTGGGAGTTAAATTTTGGTCCAAAACTCTATGTCCAACTTATAGGCGAGTCATAAAAAGGTTAGTATTTTTCTGGACGGCGAAATGTAGTATTTCATAAACATTTCCATGATTATCGTTGAACAGAGTCTGGATATATTATATCAATTATGTATTCTAAGATTATACATAAAGTACAAGTTTTTGCATATTTTAATAACTTTATCTTTATCTTAAGTGTGCATTATGTATTTTTCTTAATGATTTAAATTTAAATATTGGCGTCTTTTCTAAAAATATTAATCGAAACCAGGTTTAAACATTAGAGCATTAATTTGAAATGCAAACTGACTCTGGCAAAAAGTTGTACCGACTTATAAGCGGGTCAATGGCAAATCCCTCCAAAATAACCTCAAAAAATACAACCGACTTATAAGCGGACCGACTTATAGGCGAGTATATACGGTATTTACAAACAAGGCATTTGAAGAGGATGAGCACAGTGCATTTTTTTTTTCTGAAGTTAAGGTGATTTTAAGCAAAAGAACATTTCTTGCCCATATTTAGAAAGCAAAATATTTTGACCTAGTTTGAAGTTTTTTAAACCCATTAAACTTAATTGTTAAAAAATTAAGTATGTAAACTAAATTTTGAATAAAGAGTTGGTCCTCTGTCTAAAACTTGCTCTGTGAGCAAGTTGAAATTACAATGCCTTTCATGATTCCTTCACAAAAAATGGGGTGATGACCCACAATATTAATAAATTATAGGTTTTAAATAATATTTTATATTTCATAAATTAAACAGTGAAATTTACAAAAAAAAAAAAAAAATTATTCATTTTTAAACTGTTGTTACATTTAGGCATGTGGGTATATGTACATATCCTGTTAAAGTCTTTGTGTATCACATTATATCATGATATACTTCAGACAAATTAGTACACCTGTAGTTTTGAATACAATTCATACATTGATTTCATTTGCCACAATGGTCTCTTTAATACTGCAATAATGCATTTGGTCTTCCTAATGCATGTATAATGCAGGTACTGTATATACTCTATGTCCAACTTATAGGTGAGTCATAAAAAGATTAGTATTTGAAACCAGGTTAAAACATCAGAGCATTGATTTGAAATTGTCAATTGATTCTGGCAAAAAGTTGTACCGATTTATAAGTGGGTCAATAGCAAATCCCTCCAAAATAACCTCAAAAAATACCACTGACTTATAGGTGGACCACTTTATAGGCAAGTATATATACGGTATAGTTTTTGTTGAATTTTGCTAACAGCAAAACACTATATATGAATAATGAATTTTGGAAAAAAAAAGATTATTAAGTTTAATGATGCATGTATGTAGTATAGAAATATTGTTCATATGCCTGTACATGGTACAAATATGCATTTTACAGAGTGTACATATGCCAGAATCATATGGACCCCAGACTGGCCCTGGTGATTCCGTTAAGAAAAAAGAAGAAAAATCCGTGCTTGTGCTCATTGGTCATTGGACAAAGGTAAATAGATTTATTTCATAAAACTAAACATGTAAATTACTAGGATATTAAAATATCACAATTAAAATATATGTACTGATTTATATATATATATGGATATCAGTTGGTCTCCTTGATGGAGTTAAATGCATTTGTTATCCCTTTTAAGTGGATCATTTAAATATTATGCAGTTTATTTAGAAGCTCTTTATTATCTGCACTATTCACTTTTACAGGGTGTATGCCAGAATTTTTTCAAGAACAGTCTGAATCTGACATGGAAAAAATGAAGAAAAACAGCCTTCCTGTTTATAAATCTACATTCTGACAAAGGGTAATTTTGTTTAGTTCAATTAGAAGTGCACATTTAATTTCAGTTGCTTTCCTTAATGATATATTATAGCATTTTTATTCCCTTATGAACAATATGTATACTTGTAAAGCATGTATCACAAAATCTTCTGCAAACAAAGTTTTGGGTGTATAGTGTTTGTTGTTTAACGTCCCTCTTGAGAATTTTTCACTCATATGGAGACGCCACCACTTGTCGGTGGAGAGCTGCAAATTTTTGTCCTATACTCAGCACTTACGGCCATTGAGCATTGAGGGATCTTTATCGAGCCAGCACCTACTATGACATGGGACCTCGGTTAATACCTCTGTCTCATCTGAAGAACGGGTCTCCACGTCCCACAGTGGGATTCAAACTCGCGATGTAAGGATCAGCTTCTTTCTCCGCGACTCTAGAGTAGACGCTCTAACCACTGCATCTGCTCTACTTTGGCAACTTTGGGTGTATATAAGCATAGGAATCATCATGTCCATCTGTCTGTTCATGTGTTTGGCCACTTTAATGATTAGCTTTTTTGTTCCAATTCTGGCTAAGATAAATTGATTTAAGTCATCTAAATACAAACAAATTAAGGGAAATTACTATGGTATTGGAATGAACATTTTGGAATACTGTCTAATTGTTCCATTGTAGTTGGTTTCTTTAATGTTGAAATAATGCATCTGGTCTTCCTAATGCATGGCATACGCTGTATGCATGTGTAATGTTAAAGTTGGCTGAATGTAAAACAGTTCTTGCGTTATGACAAAGGTAAATAGATTTAGTTCATGTAGCTAAACATGTAAATTATTAGAGTACTAAAATCTCAAGTTTTGAATACTGATTTACACGTGGAGAGTAGTTGGTCTCCTTAATGCAGTAATAATACATTTGGTCTCCCTTATGCGTATGGTATATTATATAAATTTAATGACTGACATGTACGAGGGTTGATCCAAAATTTCGTGGAATTTCTTCATATTTTATTTATTTATTAGTGAAAGTGGTTGAATACTGATTTACATGTGGATAGTAGTTGGTCTCCTTAATGCAGTAATAATACATTTGGTCTCCCTTATGCATACTGTATATTATATAAATTTAATGACTGACATGTACGAGGGTTGATCCAAAAGTTCGTGGAATTTCTTCTAGTGTTGTACCGATAATCAGAAAACATTGATTGTCGACAAAAAATGCTACCTATTCCGATGATCGATTATAGTTTTTCATAATCGATCATCGGAAACATACTTCTAATACAATACATTCCGGAATTATCCATTTCTGGTTTAAAATTTATTTCTTCTTAATGAAAGAAAATGGCATCTGCATCTGATACTATCCAACTAGCATGAAGCAGAGGTGATTAAGAACCGAAGATGCATATATAGGGCTTAAAAAAATTATTTTTGTTTCCTGTAATAACCCGACCGACCCATTCAATTTACCCCCGGGTGAATTTTTTTTTCTGCCAAATCTGTGTTTGCTCTTTGGTTTGATAAATCAGCTGATTCTTTTTATTCAAAAAATATTAATTGTATCTTTTATTTGAGATATAAAATATGCAACTTAGTCAACATTCACCTTAAATATAAAGAGTGATCAATTCCCCCCACAACTTTTTGAAGTTCGTTTTCTGCCGCTAGGCAGCCATGTTGGGTGTCCACTGTAAATATTTTTAGGTCTAGAAAGTGTAAAAGAAGCAAAACAACAAAGAAAATAATATATTATGTATTTTATATATTCATGTTAAAGAAATAAATGAAATTATTGTAATAGTCTGCTTTTTGTATACAAAACTATGAAGAAATCTGATTATAATCGGTGAAATCGCATCAGAAGCAGTAACCGATTCCAACCGATTATCGTTTATGAAAATTAACCGATGTCTCATCACTAATTTTTTCATATTTTTTTTAATTTATTAGTGAAAGTGGTTGAATACTGATTTACATGTGGAGAGTAGTTGGTCTCCTTAATGCAGTAAGAATACATTTGGTCTCCCTTATGCATACTGTATATTATATAAATTTAATGACTGACATGTAGGAGGATTGATCCGAAAGTTCATGGAATTTCTTCTTATTTTATTTATTTATTAGTGAAAGTGGTTGAATACTGATTTACATATGGATAGTGGTTGGTCTCCTTAATGCAGTAATAATACATTTGGTCTCCCTTATGCATATGGTATATTATATAAATTTAATGACTAACATGTACGAGGATTGATCCGAAAGTTCATGGAATTTCTTCTTATTTTATTTATTTATTAGTGAAAGTGGTTGAAAATTACAAATAAGAATATAGACACTTGTTGAATTTTTTAAATAAAAAAATATTTTAAATATTAATGATAGTAACTCTATGGCAGTTGCCATAGCAAAGGATGTTTTAAAATGCAGGGGAGACATTTACTCGTTCATTTTCATTTTAATTCTTAATACGTGAAATAAGAAAAAACCTGCACTAAGTGGCAAATAAAATGAGAATTTTGTCATTATTACGATTCCTTGACCACTAATATACCTGTCTGTGAGAGTTTTACTGATTTAACTTGATATTTAGACTATTAGTTGATGATTTCTTGTTCATCTTTTAATTGTTAGAGAATGTCACATTTCAGTCAAGTTATAAGTTTTGATAAAATCTTAGGAACACTCTGACTTAAAGGGGTATACTACTGATACAGGCTGGAGAAAAATGCATTTAGCAACTGATTTTCCAGTGGCGTGAGAAATTTAAGAACAATAGAACTTCCATGAGGTTGATTAAAGGTGTGGCTGCTTTTGGAGGGTCTGTTTTTCTCGTAGACAAATTAAGCCATGATGGATGTTGACCGCTGACGTACTGTGCTGGACTTTGCTACTGAAATTGGAACATCATATGGAAAGATGGGGAGTATTTTTGAAATATGAGTGTAATATAAAGATAAGTCGATTGGTGTGAGAGGATACCCAGGCTTTTCTTGAGAGAAAAAAGGAGAAAAAGGCAGAATATTCTGTAGAATTACTTAGTTGAATTGAACATGAGGGCGAGATGCTCCTATAACATGACATGACATACTTAACTTGACGTTACGTCGAAGTCTCTCCCGGATTTTAAAACTATCAGTGTTCAGAAAGCTCATGTGACCTTATTGGTAATTGGAATGTGGTGAAATTTTCCAGTATTGTTGCATAATGACTCTATATTATAAATATGCCTATTGTTTGCTTTCATCAAATCACAATAAAATTTTAGAAATAATTAAATTCCATGAACTTTTGGATCAACCCTCGTATTAGAAAAAAGATGGATCTAAGATTGAACAGGTTATAATTCACCTGAGTCATTTAAATTACTTATTGCTATCTGTTTTTGTTCAGTCATCATGTGTCAAGTATTGTATGTATGTAAACTATTGAACATTTTCAGCTCCTTTTCTGGAACCAGTTTCAACTAATTTCTCGGTTGAAGTACTGTATAGGGGATTAATTTCAGGGGTTGTAATTTTCATGTTTTTCTCTCCTCTGACACGAATTCGTGGAATCGGTATATAATAAAGGTTACATGTACCTCCCTTCAATGTCTATATCCGTTTAATCCATAGCGTAGTTAGAAGGCATTAATCAGCGTTATGTATTCACTTCACGAACAACAGGGTAGATTTATATATACATCAGCAAGTTCGATAGTTATTTGAATGATTTTTCAAAACCAAAATGTCGATAAAAACATGATAATGCAGGTAACAAATGCACGTCGTAACATAGTTAAGTACGGGTATTCAAAACCCATGACCCTAGTGTTTTGATTGATGAAACATGTAGCGTTGGCTATTAAAACAGTTTTTTTTTTTTTTTAACAAATACAGGTTATTATCTGCTGAGTGATCTAAATTAATGTCAAGCGTGGTAATTAAAATAATTGAATGACAAGTACGATTCGTAAAACTGAAATGACCATGCACTGCACGTATATTTACCTATCGTAGTCTATTCTCAAATTTCCAAATAGAAGATGGAGGTTATTGAAAACTTATTCACTGTTTCTTGAATTCACGGATTTATTCACACCATGAATATAGGGAATATTAACACCGCAAGTTATTTTCCCCCTATACAATATACAGACATAATATAGAAATGATTTTATCGACTTTCTCAATCTATCATGAATTTAAAAATGTAAATATAAGCATTTAATTGTAAGTATTAAACATTTAGCATCTCATAACCAGAGTTGGAAATTACTGACTGCCCGAGGCAGTCTGTTTTTCAGGTAGGCAAGGACAAACTTTAGATTAACCTCGGTGGTCGGGGTCATTTAAACAGGTAGTTCCTGTTTTCCTTTTTTTTTTCTTCAGGGTATAGTAAGTCTATAGAAATTAAGTAAAATATAGTATATCAAAGGAACACTTCTAGTTAAAAATATGAGATGACCTATAGGACCAATATTGGTTTCAGTCTTTAGAAAAAGCTTATCGATATATGTTCCGGTCACTGACTTTAGGTCACATGTGTGTAGTTTCTTGTTTCTCATGTATTGCTTTAGTTCTACATTAATGGTAATCTAACAACCAAGCTTTATGATATACGTGATGACTTTAACTTTTCAATCGTCAACTTCCCTTACTTATTCAGCAGTATACCTTCATCACCTGTATACGGGGTTTATATCTCTCAGTTGATTCGATACGCAAGAGCATCCTCTATGTATGAACAATTTTTAAAACTAGGTAAGTTATTGACAAACAAATTGCTGAAACAAGAATATCAGCAGTCTTGTTTAAAGTCATCATTTTGTAAGTTCTATGGTCGATACAATGACCTTGTCAGCAAATACAATTTATCATTAAGTAAAATGCTGACTGACGTTTTTCATACTTATTGTTAGGCCATTATTTACACATTGAATTGTGTATGGATTTTTCCATTGTTTCCCAGTCATGACAAGGAGCACGCAGCGGGTGTGACTGGTCTGCAGGGGATGCTCACTCCTCCATGGCACCTGATCCCACCTCTGATGTTTTGGAGGTCTCTGTTTGCTCTGCTCCTATTTTGTATTTTTTGATGGGCTTTTGAGCTTGAATACTGATTGTTATCTTGATATATTTCATTCTACTCAACTGTGTGTTCATGTGATCCTACCTCAGTATTTACAAAATGATACATCCTTTGTTTGAAGGTCATTCTTGCTGTCTGACTGAGTAATGGCAACGGGACATAAAACCTTAACTGACCTTTCCACATTTTTTTCTAATCTGAAAACCCTTATGCATTTTTAGCATAACATATCGCCAATGCACACATTTTTCCCAAGGAATGAACTGCATCTACTCTGCATAGAACAGTATCTCTCCCACTGGCACAACAGTACTATTACACGTCATTATGTTCTTGAAAGGCAAACACAGCAATTATTGCTCGGCATGATTTTTTTTTCGTGACACCTGCAGTATCGAGTAACACGTCAAAGTGAATGATTCATGTCCTCAAACAAAGTGTGCTTACAATGAGGTTTAGTTCCGGTTGATTGCGTTTAGTTAAAGAGAATTTATGATCTGCATTTCCATAGATGTCTTTTATATCAACACCAAACATGCATTTAAGGAAGAAAATATATTAAGTAAAATGCAAAAGCCTGTATTAAAAAATCAAAGGACAAGTGCACTTAAGCAATGCTTAATGGGCCCTTTTTCAGTGCCGTATTACTTTAGAATGTATTACCAAATTGTTCTCTTTTGGTAATAGTTAAACACAAGTGGACATTTCTAATTAAAATCACATTAAAACATCATCTAAATCAGCATGGATTTGAAACAAATGAAGTTTTTTAAATGCCTATAGATACCCCAAATCCGGGAAAGTCGTACGGAACCTATTTTGAGTTTCGTTCATTTAAATCAAGGGGAGGAGACATTTAAATCAGACACTTGAACAATCTGATGGTGGATCATTGACAGGCACGTTTGCTGAATGATACTTCTTGTGCTATTTTACCTGAGAAAAAAATCGAATGAAGTTGTATAGATACCTGTATCCATAGTGATCAAACTAAGGAATTTGCATGCTTGCATTTGAAATAATACAATAAGTATTAACATTAGTTCCTTTAAATTTTAAAATGAAAAAAAGTGTATTTAGGTGGCTTTCAATACCAGTACCATTGTCTTGCATGAATGTTAAAAATGTTTGACACTTTTATTTATGATGACATTTTAACGACACTAAACTCTCCTAACCATCCCGTGTTCCTAAAACCAAATACATACAAACTTCTCTATGCGGCTTGACTTTGATATAATGATACAAAACATGGCTATGTTTTACAGTGAGCATCTTTGAGGAATGTTTACCTGGGTAGAACTCACGTGACTACCAGTATTTTAAAAAATATATTCCACGGGTGGGTTCAACATAGGTCATACAGGTAAATAGCTCTTGCTTGTTATAGGAAAAACATTGAACTTTTCATACATTTTTAATATTTAAAGTACAAGCCTAATCATGTACAAATTTCCTACTTTCACGCAAGTTTTATAAATGTATAATGCATTTTTTGTCAATCGTACAAGTTTGTACAATGTTAGGCTGACAATAAACAAAAGCTTTGAAATGAATGACCGTCCTCGATTTACTACAGAAAATCACGAATATTGGCTGACCCCCTACCACATTGTATGGCTTTGCTCTTTGTATATTTATGAATTTCAGCGATAAAATTTGTTGAATCTTATGGTTTAGATATCAATTAATGATCTGAGATGGAAAATTATGCTTAATTTAATTCTTCATTTTTTCACATTTTACCGGGGCCCATAAGTGCACTCGTTCTTTAGTGTTTATACAGGTAAAAAGTTTGAAAAAATAAAAATGTGCCAACAAATGGTTTTGAACCAGTACACTAAAAATGTTCATGGTGAGAGTCTGCGGTCTATCGCTCTGGGCTATGCTGACTATGAGGACATTTGTAATAAATATAAACCAGTATGATAGAAATAGGTTTTCACGTTTTTTGTAGGTTTTTTTTTATGAATTTCGACCCTAGGCACCTCTAAAAGAACCTTGTTTTAAATAATTGCTTACTAGATCAAAATCTATCAAAATTTCATAATTTAATTTAGGAGCAGGCAAAGAGTGATTATATTGCATCTATTGGGTATAATTTTCTTATCAGAAAATTGTAGAAATATGCAAGGTTAATTAATGACAACATTTATTTTTCCTTTTTGCCTAATACTTTTATGATTTTCACTAATAAATTGATTATTGAAAAAAGCCTTTAATATGACTGCTGATTTTATCTCCATCTGTTAATTTTCAACACCTTTTCTCATGATTATAGTAGATAGAGAACAGATTATGATTTCTAACATTTACTTTTACAGATCATTTCCTTGAGATAGGTGGAACCAACAGTCAAATACAGACACTTTTAAGAAAAGTAAAAATCTGGCTCAGGTAAAAAAAAAAATCATTTACAGTTTTAACAATTAGTAATTTTACCTTAATTAACTGGAACAAGATGTGTTTGTGAAACACTATGCACCCGGCGGCAACAAAGTTCGAAAAAGCTATTTTTAGCATATAGGTCACAGTCAAGGTCACAAGGTCATTGACCTTGGTGTCATTTGAAAGAACTTAATGAGTGGAGTATGCATACCAAATATGAAGTCTCTCTCTCTCATGATTCAAAAGTGATGGTGAAGGTTAAAGTTGACAACAGACAGACAAACAGACAGACAGGACAAAAACAATATGCGCCCCCGATCTATCGATCCGGGCACATAAAAATCTCATTTGACGAAATACAGGTCAAGAATGAAGAGTTTAAAGCCTAGCAGGGATTTTGGTCAATAATTACAGGTAATCTGCAGTCCCTCTCGAGAATTTTACACTCATGGAGATGCCACCACTTGCCAGTGGAAAGCTGCAAATTCTGTCCTATACTCTGCACTCACTGCCATTGAGCAGTGAGGGGTCTTTTTCATGCCAGCACCTACTGTGACACAGGACCTTGGTTTATAAGGTCTCATCCGAAGGACTGGTCTCCGTGTCCCACAGTGGGATTCAAACCTGCGACATAAGGATCAACTCCTTATTTCGCGACCATGGCGCCACGCTTTGACTAGCTCAGTTTTAAAGAAATCATTCAAGATATTTTTTATCAAACTTAATATGCTGATACATATATAATAAGTAAGACCTATTCAACTATTTCAAAAACTTTTGACCTTTCCTGTGACCTTGACCTCACTTTCCTTCAATTTGCATTTTGCATGGTTTTAAAACCATTTAAAATATTGAAATCTAAGGTTATGCATCTATACATAATTTGGTGAGAATTTATCATCTATATCCATTTTTTTTAGATTTCAATTTAAATTTTAAAGAAACTTTTCAAGATATTCTCATCAAACTTCATACACTAACACAAAATTTCATGTTGCATTACTATATACTCGGCGGGCATATATGTCCTATGGACATATTTCTAGTGTATTGCTATTTCTGTTGTTTGTTTACTTCCGGTCAGTAAGTACCCCCTAGGGGCAAGCCCCAGTCCTTTTTTCTTTTCCAGGGTTGCAACAGCGCCCCCTAGAAAAACAAGTTGCACCATCCAATCAAATCGTGTTTTGTGCTGCTTTATGCCAATGAAATTAAGGCTAGACAGCATATGTATTATATTCTGACCAATGGGGTTGCTGTATTTTCAAATAATTAGGATAGACTTACCACTTCAGCATTCCTTTCATCACTGAAGTGATATACATGGTCAAAAATTGACTAACTTTCATTTTTGTGTCAACTGCAGAGCAGAACGACACTTAGAGATCACTTTACCTGGTGTCTGTCTGTCCGTCTGTCACACCTTATATCTCCAAAATTTTGAGAGGCAGGGTTTTGATAATTAGCATTTATATATGTTTTTGAGCTCATGATACTATACTTTGAAACTGTATGAAATTCAGTTACCACACAAACTTATATTTAAAGACTATGAAAATACATTGGGATCAGTATTCCACAATGAATCGTGTTGACTGACAAAGTGACAATTAAAGTAAAGACAGTCTGAAATTCCTTTCCTCCGAGGATTGTTGGAAGCACCTACATGTGTATTAATAAAATGATAAATAGTTATTCATCATAATTTCAATTTAATTATTCATTTGAGGACTGGGGAACCATATTTTCTTTGATTGCCAGATTCTATCCCAGTCTTTTGCTTTTGGATCTTTTTTTTTCCTTGCAGGCAAATGCATGAACCTCCATGCTAATATTAAATTAATAGCTGACCACTCTTAGATTTATTTACCTCTTTAATGACGATACCTAGCAGGTGACATATACATTCCTTGAAACACTCTAGTTCCTATTTGATTTTCACTAATATAAAGATTATTGAAAAAAGACTAAGGTGCTCTATAGTGATCAGTCTATTCATTCATCTGTCTGTCAAATACACATATTCCTTGTTCAGAATACAGGTTACTCTAAATACTTCAAACTTTATATTTTTTAATTAGATACATGTAGCTGCTTTGGAACATCTGAAAGGTCTATTATATTATCACTAGTTTTACTAGTTTTCTTCTTGTAAGTTGAATATATTTTAAACTTTTAAATTTTTATTTTTTCCAGGTAAGAAAGAAATTCAGGAGTTCTTAAATTGCCCTTGGAGTTCTTGGATTGCATCAAACTGCTAAAAGACCTCAACAAAAACAGTGTCTTGAAAATAAAAATGAAAATATTCAGTGAAAAAAAAATGATGAAAGAGCCACTAAAAATCTTCAAGCCTTTGAGCTGAAATCTGGAAGTCAATCTGTGGACTTAACTAGTATGTCTTACTAAGTCATCATTTGTGTATAATAAATACACTAAACTGTAAACACTTGTTAAAATGTGTATAATTTTTAGATATAATTTGTAGCTCACAGACTTCAATAGTTTCATGTAATTTAAGTAATAATGAAAATTTCCTGTTGTCTAGCTAGATTAGAAACTATTATTGTCCAATTTTGGATATTGTGAAATAATTCATCTAGTATGCATACATGTGTGTACACTTACGTGTAAATTAATTATTACAGCAAATTCAATCGATCATTAAGTTGAATGTTGACTAATGTTTTTCATCGAAATTGTTTACACTGAATTGTTTGTGGATTTTTCCATTTGCCCAATCATGTCAAGGAGCACATGGCAGGAAATGCTTTCTCCTCCATTGCACCTGGTGTTTTTAGCGGTCTGTGTTTGCTCTGCTCTAATTTTGTATTGTTTCAATGGACTTTAAAGCTTGATCACTGTTGGTAATCTTCATATTTCATATACTATTAGAGTACTGGAAGAAAACTGTAAAGATTTAACATACAGTATAATGCATGTATATTGCACTTTAAGTACGGTGTATGTGGTTAAGAAATGTTAAATCCTCTCACAGTGCATTGAATTTGTTGAAAATTAGAAAATGTGTTGAAATTTTTTTTGAAATAATTTTACTAGATTGCAGTTTTTTTAAATCATGCAAGTAAGAAATTGCTAAATATTTTTTAGCTTTTCTGGACAGTCTAGATGAGTTCTTACTATATACCTAGCATTGTATCCCAGTTAAAATTTAAGGAGCAAGGTTCATTCCTAAGCTCTACCTGGACAAACTTGCATGGATTAAAGCACATTAACAGATTTACTTCAGATGCTTGACCTGATCTACATTTTCCTCATGTGTTTTTTTTTGTTTTTGTTCGTTTGTTGTTTAGCATCCCTCTCAAGAATTTTTCATCCATATGGAGATGCCACTACTTGCTGGTGGAGAGCTGCAAAATTTGACCTATACTTTGCACTCAGGGCCTTGAGCAGTAAGGGATTTTTTTTGTGCCCACATCAACTGCTAGGCGGGACCTCGGTTTATATGGTATTATCTGAAGGACTGGTCCCCACATCCCCAGTGGATTTGAACCTGAGACTTAAGGATTAAATCCTTACTCGCGACTCTAGATTACAAACTCTATCCTTTGCGCCACATGGGGGATTTCACAAGATTAAGTGTTTTGAGCAGTCCTATTCTCATGTAATTATAAACTCTATGTTGAACAAACCTGCAAAGATGATGTATGTACATGTAAATGTTTCAGGGTACCAATCCTTGATTTGACTTAGATTTTCTGGATTAATGACCAGTTTTTAGAGAAGGTTCATTCAAAGTAACAATATACTCATTGGTGATCAGTAAACATAGATGATATATCCTGCTTCTGATGCTGGATGTAACATACATTTTCAGGGTTATTGAGCAGTTTAATCTAACCCAGACCAACTTGCATAGATTTTGGATCCAGGTGATATACATTACCAGAGTGTTTGTTGAGTGAGATTTTGCCTTACTAGTAGATAACATTTATAGAAGTGAGCTTTGTATTCTTTGATTAGGTATGTTTTTTCTTTGCTCAGGATATATATACCATCAGTGCCAACTACCATACATTTTATATAATAGATGTAGCTGTTGTTCAACTGAATATGATAAAACTGTGGATGAAAATAATTTGATTTTTGTACCTTTGAATGTATTGAATTAATTTGTAAAAGCTGTTATGATACAATGTTTGATTTTTATAAAAGTTTTTAGCATATGCAATCAATAAATGTATCAACATTTTTATTTTATTATACTTTTTACCCTGCAAACTTCTTAAAAACAGAATAGTAATGCTCCATTTAACTGATACTAGGTTAGTGTCACATTGTACTGGTATATCATGTATACTGAACTGTAAATAAGAAACATCTAAATACTTTGTAAAATCACAGCATGAATCATTGGATTATGTAAGAAGTGCACTATCTTGTGCTTTGGTATGGTATTAATAATAAATGTTAAACTATCATTTTTTTTTCAAATTAACAAAGGATATGCTTGAGTGACTGTATTTTGACTAGCAGTAAAAATAAAATGATTTTTAAGCATTTGAATTATTTTGATTCATGGTCTCTGCAAGTTTAATGATAGCAAATATGTATATTGAACATGGCATCCACATATTGCTATACTGGATGGGGCATAACTTTTACTGAATCTTAATCACAACCTTGAAATTTTATGTAGTACATGTACTCTTGGTTTCAACTGGTCAAATGTATTCTTAAATCACAAAGAATTTAAACAAATGTAGGAATAGGTCAGAACTTCATCAATTAGTTGGAAAGCGAATGCACTCGGTGACGAAGCTGGGTATAAATAGCAGGAAAAACTACTTGATGTCCACTGTGAACTTTGTGTCCTCAACAAAACAATATGGAGTATACTATACTTGGTCTAAAGAATAATCTATGTCTGCATTCACTTTTAGGTTAAACTGTTTTGGGCATTGAGAGTTTGTTTGTTGTTTAACGTCCCTCTGGAGAATTTTTCACTCATATGGAGATGCCAACACTTGCCGATGGAGAGATGCAAATGACCTATGCTCGGCACTCATGGCCAATGGGCAGTGAGAGATCTTTTTCATGCCAGCATCTACTGCGACACTGGACCTCTGTTTGTATGAAGGACCGGTCTCTACGTCCCACAGTGGGATTCAAACATGTGACAAAAGGATCAACTAACTCCACGACTCTAGAGCAGAGGCTCTTTCCACTGCACCACGTGGGCGACAGCATTGAGAGTTAAATGTGGATATCAGAACAAGCTACTCTGGGCTTATACTCTCTATATATTGATTGATTGTATGTTGTTTAACATTCCTCTCGAGATTTTTTCACTTATATGGAGACACCACCACATGCCGGTGGAGATCTGCAAATTTTGTCCTATACTCGGCACTTACGGCCATTGAGCATCGAGGGATTTTTTTCGTGCCAGCACCTACTGCGACACAGGACCTTGATTTATATGGTCTCATCTGAAGGACCGGTCTCCCCATCCCACAGTGGGATTTGAACCTGCGACGTAAGGATCAACTCCTTACTTCGCTACTCTAGAGCAGACGCTCTAACCACTGCACCACGGGGGCAACTACTCTCTATTTAAGTCACTTGTGCAATGACTTTAGTTTAATTCGAAGTTTTGTACTGATCATGTTGAGTCACATTAGCACAAATATCTTTCTGCTGACCTTGACTAATGACCATCCGCAACTATTCTGGTTGGAAACAATATGTTAATTAATGCATAATAAGTGAAATTACTATGAAAGAAAAATGGTCTACTTAAACCACAAGTTATATTTATAAAAAATATACACTGGTCTCCTTAAGTCATATGAGAGAAACATAAAATATTAAGGAGACCATTTTTTTCATATATTTTTAGGAGGCATTTATTATGAAAAAATAAAGCAAGAGTCGACTAAATGGTGTTCTATAGATCTTTGATCTGGTATTTCTTTTTAGAAAAAAGCAAATTTAAAAAATCTGTATATTGTCTCCTTAAGCCATATATAATGGTCTGGTCTCCCTAGTCCTTAAATCAGAGTTATATATATATATATATATATATATATATATATATATATATATATATATATATATATTAATTAAATACTTAACAACTCCAACAGATTAATACATACTCCCATTTGCAAAATATTTGCAAAAATCAGAAACATGGAGAATATCTTCGGTCAATATCTGTCATCCTGGGTCATTATAAATGCATATTGACCTACATTGAGTCCATATTTGTATAATATATATATATATATATATATATATATATATATATATATATAGTCCATATTTGTATAATATATATATATATATATATATATATATATATATATATATATTAATTAAATACTTAACAACTCCAACAGATTAATACATACTCCCATTTGCAAAATATTTCATTATTAAAATTTTTGGGAATTGTCTTTTTTTTTCAACCAATACCGTAATTTTGAAAAATTATAGAGATATGGGTGTTTCCGGGACGTGACTTGGAAGTGACAAATATCTCATTTGTAGCCTCAGTTTTAATGTATTTCTCGCAGAAGAAATGTTTTTTAAAAAGCTAAAGAAAAATTAAGAATTGTTCCACGGACTTGAGATCGGTTTGATTTGCAGGAAATTCTTTGCCCAATTCTTTGAACAGATAATTTGGTGATATATTTAACAACCCTAAAATATTATTACATACAAATTTTTGAGAAATAGTTCATAATTTTAATTATTGGGAATTATTATTTTTTATAATTCTACTAAGACCGGTATTTTGAAAATTAGTAGCTATATATTTGTTGCTATGACATGACATAGAATTGTCAAATATTTTATTTGTACTCTACGTTTTTCTGTATTTCTTGCAAGAAAAAAGTTTTGAAAAAATAGCCCAAGGCAAATGGAAAATAGCCCCAAGGCATCTTCAAAACGGTGGACTTCCAGGAATTTATTGTACAGATAAGAATATGAAATACTTAAGAACTCGAACAGATTAATACATACTCCCATTTGAAAAATATTTCATAATTTAATCTTTGGGAATTGTCATATTTTATTTTTCAACTAATACCTTAATTTTGAAAAATTGTTTGATTTGCAGGAAATTCGTTGTACAGATAACTCAATGATATACTTAACAACTCCAAAAGATTAATGCATACTCCCTTTTGAGAAATTTTTCATCCTTTTAATTTTTGATAATTACCATTTTTATGCCCCGCCATGAATATGGCCGGGGCATATAGTGTTTGTCATGTCTATCTTCCGTCCTTCCGTCTGTCCTTCCGTCACACTTTGCGTTTAGCTCTGTTCAAAGCTCAGTTTCAACGAAACTATCCGACATATTTTTATCAAACTTCATATCCTGATAGATATTGATGAGAACTCTGCAATTGCATCAACATTTTTTGACCTTGACCTTTCATTTTACCTTGGCCTCACTTTTCTTAAATTAGTGTTTTGCTCAGTTTTTAAGATACCATTCAATATAGGGTAATCAAACTTCATATGTTGATACATACTGATGTAAGCTATTCAACTACATCAATATTTTGGCCTTGACCTTTCATTTGGCCTTGACCTCACTTTTCTTCATTAGTGTTTAGCTTAGTTTTAAAGATACCATTCAAGATAGTTTAATCAAACTTCATATGTTGATACATACTGGTGTAAGCTATTCAACTGCATCAATATTTTTGGCCTTGACCTTTCCTTTTACCTTGACCTCACTTTTCTCAATTTGTGTTTAACTCAGTTTTAAAGAAAACATTCATAATATTTTATCAAACTTCATATGCTAATATATACTATGTAACCTTTTCAACTGCATCAACATTTTTTGACCTTGACCTTTTCTTTGACCTTAACCTTATTTATTTTAAAGTAGTGTTTAGCTCAGTTTTAAATAAACCATTCAAAATATTTTGATCCAACTTAAATATTC